AACACCTCCATTGAAGATCCTATTTCAGGCACTAATTTATAGTATAATAAACAACTCTTGAAAATTTGAATGTTTAACTATATGCGATCTTGAGATATTTGTTGTTCTAAAATTACTACATTCGAAATAAAGAATTAAAAAAAGTGCGAAAGAAATTAATAAAATGATAAAGATATTCATTGAGTATTTTTGTATTGTATTAAATATTCAACAAATTGTACAATAATTTTTATCTGTTATTTTTATCTATTTATTTACAATAATTTTTATCTGAGGTTATTTATAATGGATATTTTTTAGTTTCCAAACGCGCTTCTTATGATTAGAAAATAAAGTAAACTGCTCTATTGCTAGCATTTTTTTGAAGCTATTTTTGATATTAAAATGGGCAAAAATTTGTAATTTTCATAGGTTTTATATAAAAACGCGTGTGGTAATATGTTAATTTTTTTTTTTAAACAAACGGGAACCATTAGCATTCTCTGGAAAAAGAAGTAATAAATATAAAATGTAAATAAAGTTTTAACATAATTACAAAACATAAAAACATTTTTTATCACAATTTTTTTAAACTTTCCTAAGTAGTAAAAGTATTTTTATATTACGTAATAAATAAGTTGTACGAAAAAAATTATTTGCAGACTCGTAACAAAAATATTTTGAGGAAGAGGCAATTTTTAAAAATTGCTAAATAGTGCATATAAATTAGAACTAAAAATTCAAAAGTTATGAAATTAATAGACATCATAAGTGACCAATCGAACTAAAATCAGGGCTGTTTCTGAGTATACAAATCTTGTAGGGGAAGGTTCCTAAGATGTTATAACCTCCTTTACTGGGAGACTACTGATTTTTTTGCGAATTTTTTGGGTTAAGTATATCATACAAGTTTGATGGTTGTATTTATTTTAATTTCTTTGTTGTATAGTTAATATTGTTTTATTGTTAAAACAATTTAACATTCCCATTATAATTTTTTATTATTCAATATTTTGTAATTACGTAAGAACAAAACAAGACCATCAAAAATTTATTATATCCTAAATATTTTATGCTTATATACTGCTAACTCTATGGGTTATATGAGATAATACACAAGTTGTCGTCGTGTTATTTAAATTATGATAGTACTTGGTTAGGCACATTTTTTTTTAATGTAAAATGAAAACAAAACAAGTACCATAAGTTAGACCTAATAATAACATTTAAAAAATACCAAACTTATCGTTATATTATTATTACTTGAAAACTTATGCAACTTTTAAACCACAAAACTTATACTCTTTTTCTTTAGTATGACTTGACGCTTATAGCGATTTAATGTTTTTAAGAATCGCATCAACTTTTCCACCACGTCCGTTCCTTTACAAAAGTAACAATAAACAAGACCGTTATTATTCAAAGCTAAGAATATAATAATAATAAAAGCTATAGTAGTTGGAATTTTAATGACTGAGAAACTGAGAGACTGAGAAAATTTTAATGACTGAGAAACCTTTGACATAATTAATCTGCGGCAGTACTTTTTTAAATATTTTATTTAATCGTTATGCAAAAAAATAAACTAATTTTAAAAATTAAATTCCCGTCTTGAAAATTGACGAGTGCTAAAAAAATTTTTTTTTTTTTTTAACAGTTAACTTTTTAGTGGGAAGCATATTTTTTGAGTGATCTTTTTGAGTGATCCATTCAAAATTATGTTCACAATTAGCGTAATGTAATGCTATAATTGATTTTGTTATTAAATCAAAAAAACACTAAATACTTTCGAAAATATCTCTAAAAATAAAAATCTCAAAAAATAGTTTTGGTACTATTATTAGAGCAGCCGTGGCGCAGTGGTAGCGCACTTGCTTCAGAAACGTAAGTTCCGTGGTTCAAACTACACCTCTAGGCAAGTTTTGCGACATCGGTTGGGAAGGAGACGTGAACTTCCTATTAAATGCTCTTCCGCGGTGCTCTGTGATAAGACCGTAAGGACTTCTTGGGGCACCTTAATCAACTTAAAAAAAAAAAAAAAAAAAGCTGTTGCTCTACTTTTAAGTCATTGGTTGAATGATGGAAAAAATACACCTCAAACCATTTTGTTGGCATAAAACGTCAGATGTTTTTTCGTTAGCCGTGTTTTATCGATTATAGATATTAGGTTCTCAGATGTTGAAGTGCCTAACTTGCTAAAGTTGCTTACCTTTTAAAAGACGTGAAA